GTGCTGTTGAAGCTAGAGAGGTGAGCAGTCTAAGTCTGATTCCCTGTAAAGACTTCTCTGTTGACACCCACCCCTTGGCGCTCATATGACCTTATGCAGTTGCGAACACCGTAAAACCGTCTACTATAAAAATAATGAAATCGACGAAATTGGCTTTTTTCTGCCAGTTTGGAAATTTTAAAAAGATTTCTGCTTTTTGGCTCAACACCTTGTATGTCCATTCAAAAATATTTTTTTTTCCGGATTTCATGGGAAAACGTTGATTAAAGGCACGGAAAATGTAAATTTGCGGTTTCCAAGGACTCTTGAGCTATGGAAGTCACCAAACTTTGGTGACCATGCTCTCCCTAATTTTACTTCTAAAACCAGGCGACTCAACCTCCTTTAATTCCAAATATCTTGACTTCTATTTAAGATAAATTGATATTTATTTCATTAGAAGCAAGGCAAATGAATCAGCTTTCAAATTATACCAGTAACTCCACATGCCCAAAAAATTGACGAGCGCCTGATTCCGCCGCATCGTGACATAATTGTATATCTCACCTGGTTGACGATCTTTCTCCACGTGGTGTTGGAGCATTCGTTTGGAGCAGTCTCAGGACTGAAAAGTTTCGTGGTTGCGCCAAGCAACAATGTCAGCGGAGAGATGTATTTAAACCGGTTCCCTATAATACGGCCATACCCTGCCTTGAGAGGAACCTTTAGACAAAGTAAACAAAACAGATTTAGACCATTTTGGTCCGTTCTGAATGCCGGGTGTGTTATGTGTTTGCAGTACTGCTCAAGTTTCTGGTCGTTGATTGCGCAAAATTGTGGTGGGTGGATATTTGACGAGGGCATATAGAAGACTGGATCGCAAATATCTAAATGGGACGTAAAACTCTGTGATAAATTGATGCTACAAAGGTGAGGTCTTATGCGCCCTTGGTGAAAAAGTTCATCCTCCGACATAACGCTATACAACGTCTGGTAATGTTCACAGGTGATTTCGAGAGTCCCCTCAACATATTCCGTATTGTGGTCGCCTCTGGTGTTGTAGGAAGGGGTCACTCCAAGGTCACCGAGCTCGTGGTGGTGGTCGCCGACGTGTAGTGTGTTACACACGAGACAGAACACGTTTTTGTACACGGTGCCGGTGTCTCTGTGTCGGACGGGGGTACAACTGCGGAGAGAATCACACGGACTTTTCTCACACAGGTGTCGTAACGTGGCGTTAGATTCCCCCTCGGGACAGACTGTCCGTGCGAACACGTCGTGGGGATAGAAATCTAATCGCGAGCAGTCAGGACGATGCAAGATATCAAATAGACTTTTGTCATCAGAGGAAATTCCTTCTCCATCTTGATCCGCTGTCGTCAGATTTTCCAGGTTCCTGTCTACGACGCTAAAAATGTTTTCCGCCCAGTGTCGGTACTTGGAAGGACAGCAGGTACCGTACAGAGAGCAGGACTGGGAACACGAGCAAGGGGCGCATTTGACAGTCGAGTTCTTGACCTTAGTTTGGGGATCAGAAGGACAACTTTGCTGACAATATGAAAGATGAAATTCTAACCCGCGAGTTACTCCAACCTCCCACTCGAACAATCTCATGTTCCAACCAGAAGCAGAGTAACTGCCTTTAATTGTTGGAAACAACGAAAGATTCAGAGCTACTACATGCGGCAAATCGAACAGTGTCAAGTTCACACCGTCGTCAGAAGAATCGCAGTTTAGTTTAGAACAAGGATCATAATCAGCATTGGCTATACTCTCATCAACACAAGCTATACACAATGTTCTAACAATCAGTGCGATTGAAAATGGGTGAGACAAAAAGTTTACAAACTTCATTGTCTCTTTCTGTTGTTAGTTGTGCCAAAGAAAATGAAGACACAATTTGGCACCAACTTGAAAATCAGGCAAAACACCAAGGCGGGAACTCGGCCAGGGTTCGTCGAATTTAATTCCTCTCTTCCTGTCTGGAATAATTCCTGGAATATTTCCCTCTAGGTTTGTTCTGGGAGAGACAAAGACTCAGTGGTCGCCGACTTCCGACACGACAGACTTGGTTCTCAGCGGGCTGTTGGACTTGGTCCTCTCCCGGAGCAAAATAATTCACACATGGGACAGAAACAAAGTAATTAACACATTGGAAAGAAACAAAGTAATTCACACATGGGAAAGAAACAAAGTAATTCACACATGGGAAAGAAACAAAGTAATTCACATTTGGGAAAGAAACAAAGTTATTAACACATGGGACAGAAACAAAGTAATTAACACAATATTTGAAAGAAACAAAGTAATTAACACAATATTTGAAAGAAACAAAGTAATTAACACATATGGAAAGATACAAACTAATCCAGGCAGAGAGTTATGTCGTACCGTCCGGTGTCTTCCGAGAACCAGAAGATCACACCACCACTAACTCATTCTTCATATTATCCTCCTTCTTTACTTCCTGTATCTCTGTTGCTTTTTCCCATGTATTGAATGATATGTGATTGCTCCGATGTGCTTCTCTTAACTCAAACAAGCACCAGCAAACAATCAGTATTTGTCAAAAGCCTAAGGATGGGATTCACCAGAGTAAGAAATGCGGCCTACTCAAGGTTTGCAAGCGATGTTAAACAATATCAGCTCCTGTCTAAAGCCTAAAGCCGACCACACACCTGTAATCCGAACTGACAATTCTACTTGATGCAAGATGATTGGTCCTTTTGGATTGTAGGCATATGTGATTATTTGAAGATTACGCAAGCAAATTGGCTCCAATCGGCTAGGCATGAAGATGACCCAGTTTTGTTTGGTGAATTCTTGTCAAGTCGTCATGCGTCACCGTGCCCCCCCCCACTTGCTCGCCCACGGCCTTTACTTATGTGTAGGTCTAAAGTGTTGTTGGTTTTGCTAAATTATATTCATTGTGCCGGTTCGGGTCTATTCTCTTTTCACGACGTGTTTTAAAGTAGACTACGATTGTTGTGAAATTTATTCTGATGGCTCCCTGGTCTTGAGAAAATGTTCTAACTTTTATTGAACTCTACAAATCACACGAACGGTTATGGAAAATCACATCGAATAAATGCAATATGATATCAAAAGACTAAACAATTTGTTCATCAGTTTGATCTATCGGCACACAGAGAAATCATCAACAATTAAAAGAAACATTATAAAACCCACAAAAGAGCACACAAGACGATGTCGTCTCTTCTTGCAGCTATTTCTACAAATGAAACTGGTCGATAAACTTGTGTAGTGTGTGTGTGTGTGTGTGTGTGTGTGTGTGTGTGTGTGTGTGTGTGCGCAAAACATGAATGCTTGAGCAGTGCTTGTGCAAGTAAGCTTGATTCAATCAGTTTGATCAAATTCACTAGCAGGTGTAAGGCTGGCTTAAGGACATAATTCACTAGAGCAAGACATGCGTCTTACTCATGGTTTGCCAGTGATGTTGTCTCCAGAATCGCTTTCCTCCTCAAATGTGAAATGTAAATCGGCGCGCGCGCGTAAGAATAATAATAGATAGCATTTGTATAGTGCAAATCCACGCTCAACAGCAAGCTCTATGCGCTTAACAATCTATACAATTACCCCAGCAGACCTGGGAACATTCTGAAACAACCTCAACTTCCTGGTAGAACTCCCAGTAATCAGTAATGAGTTCAGTGAGCAGACCCGTGGCGTCGCTAGTCTTGTAGTTAGGGTACTGGATTCGTGATACCGACATTGCTGGTTCCGCGGTTCCAGGCTCAACTGT